TGCCTATCAGTGATGTATCCACCCTGGCTTTGGGGTGCCTCTTTGTCTCTCTGTCTCCTTTGCTCTTTCTGTGTATTCTTGATATATATGAATCGCCGTCAGGTATCCTCTCCTCGTGAACTGAACCCCAATGTCGAGGCGGGTCCCCGACACCTTGATTCCTGTTTATAGTAGGAGAAAACTCAGGGTACAGGGGTAAATATGAAGCCAAAATAAGAGGGGTCTAGGGCCCAAGGGTTCTACCGTGTCCCTGACAAGATGGTTTAGGTTTAGAAGATAATATGGGTAAAACGTACCATTGCAATGAGGGAGATGCAAAGGGATTTTGCCTATGACCAGCCAGTCAAGTTAATAGTAGATACAACTATGGCATGTCTCCCTGTTCTGTTATCCCATGCAGACAAGAGAAGTCTCAGAGACAATTGTCCAATGTTGATGAATGTCTTTCCCCTTTAGAACAGTGAGAAACAAACATAAATATAGTGCCTTGAGGGGTCCCTGTAATAACTGGAATGATGTTCGGTGGACCACCCAATATCGGTAATGGACTTCTAGCTTGCACGAGGGTCCACCCCAGGCCCTCATTGCAAATCCTAACAATGCAATCAATCCATTACTCTTAATTATAGATAATTCCAAAACCATGACCAGAGAACCTTCAATAATAGGAAACTATGGATTGGGAGCTGATGTTACAGGTAAGGATCCTATAGGAGTCTCCGCTCTAACACTAATTAGACAAAACTCAAGCCCTACCTTTCCCAAGGATAGAACTCAAACACAGAATTCTAGAAATGATTCAGATCTAGTAACTGCCCCCCCCTTAAGTTCAGGAAATGACCCTTCTAAAGTGACAATTACATAAGTTAAAGACCTTAGACAAAGTATAGCTATAGATAGTCCTCAAGATGTCAGCTTGAGGACTAAGGTGCACCTGACCCAAGTTATGGTATTTTCAATAACCTCATATGAATGCAAAAGCTGGACAGTAAATAAGGAAGATCACAGAAGAATTGATGCCTTTGAGTTGTGGTGTTGGAGGAGAATACTGAAAGTGCCATGGACTGCCAAAAGAACCAATAGATCTATTTTGGAAGAAGTGCAGCCAGAGTGCTCCTTGGAGGCCAAGATGGCTAAACTTCGTCTCTCATATTTTGGACATTTTGTCAGGAGGGAATAATCGCTGGAGTAGGATGTCATCCTGGGTAAGATGCAGGGTCAGAGAAAAAGAGAAGACCCCCAACAAGATGGAGCGGCCAGGTGGCGTCATTGATGGCATCAAATGTGGCAGCAGTAGTGAGGTTGGCCCAGGATTGGTCATTGTTTCGTTCTGCTGTGCATGGCGTTGCTATGAGTCGGTCCTGACTCGATGGCACATGACAACAACAGCAACATAGCTATAGAAACAGGATATGGGGATGCGAATGTTTGGTTGGAATGGATTAAATATTCTGTTCCCACTCTAAATAACAGTGATTGTTATGCCTGTGCAACAGGAAGACCGGAAGCTCAAGTGGCCCCCTTTCCACTTGGATGGTCCTCAGACTCTCAGGGCATGCACTGTATGGTTGCTCTCTTCCAAGAACCTATATCCTGGGGCAATGAATTCTGTAACTCATTGTCACAACTGTTCCCTAATGTCAGGGGTCTTTCGGGTCAGCCCTCAAGGACCATTAGGCCTCCAGCCTCAAATGTCAATTTCACATCGTGTCTCTCTAGACATGGGGAAATTTGATGTTCATCAGAAACCTGATGGGATACACTGAGTGCAAACTCTTTAAAAAGTTTCAAAATCAGTCAGCCCTAGCTATTCCATGAGCAGATGTCTGGTGGTATTATGGGAAACAATTATTTGGGGCTTTGCTTGCAAATTGGAGTGGCACCTGTGCTTTGGTGCAATTGGCCATCTCTTTCACCCTGGCATTCCATCAACCAACAACTACAGGAAACAGGCATAAAGCCAAGAGAATTGTAGTTACTCCCCATGGCTCTTTTAGTTCCCATGTTTACATAAACAGTATAGGAGTTCCCTGAGGGGTGCCAAACAAATTCAAAACAAGAAACCAAATAGCTGTAGGGTTTGAATCTGTATTATTCTGGTGGTCAACCATTAACAAAAATGTGGACTGGATTAACTACATCTATTATAATCAACAAAGATTTGTAAATTATACCAGGGGTGCTATAAAAGGAACAGCAGAACAATTAGGACCAACTAGCAAAATGGCCTGGGAAAGCAAATTAGCCCTAGATATGATATTAGCAGAAAAAGAAGAAGCATGTGTTATGATGGAATAACTGGAATGATGTCTGGTGTACAATGTTGTACTTTCATTCCCAATGACACAACTCCTGATGGTACCACTACTGAAGCATTACAAGGGCTGACCACCTTAGCTAATGAACTCACTGAAAATTCAGGCATAGATGACCCCTTTTCTAATATCATGGAACAATGATTCGGGAAATGGAAAGGGCTTATGACTTCAGTCCTCGCCTAATTTTCGTATTTGGCATATTAACATTAATAGGATGCTGTATTATACCCTGTATAAGATAATTAGTTCTAAAACTCATAGAAACAGCCCTATCCAAACAACCCCCAACCCCATACCAAAATAATCTTTTCCACCTAGAAACATATGAACACCAAAGTCAACATCTCCTTGCAAAATTTTAAGAAAAGAATGAAGAAGTCTAAAAAGAAAAAAAAATATATAATCCTGTTTATTGTATTCAAGTGACTTCTTTTTTTTTTTCTCTTTTACTTCCTTAAAAAAAAAAATGGGGGAATTGTGGGGGAAAATATATTTTTAAATTTTTATTTCCTGAAGTAAAGACTTTATGAGCTCTCTCTCACTCTCTCTCTCTTTTTTTTTTAATGATCGCTCTCTTTTTCTTTTCCTAAAGTAGGAATGTGTGCCTTAAAAATTTGAACTAGCCAAATGGGTAAGGGAAAAGATTGTTCTGTCAAAACCCTAGCCAACAGGGTGAAACACAGCATTGAGACTCGCATCAGGGATTAAAAACCAGACTGGATTGCCCACTCAGTGTGCTCACTGGCCTGTTCCTATATGTACACGGCTATGCGCACGCACCCTCTTGCAGAAGTAAATTTTGCCTTGCCAAGTTAAGTTAGTCTCGCCGAGTGTCTTTCATGCGACATGGGGATTCATTTCTAACAGTAATTTCAAACTGTTGACCTGAGATTATCAGCCTGACTCATAAGCATTATATTACCAGAGAGTGACTTTAATGAACAAAACTAATTTTCTCACAGTTTAGGAGCTAAGAAGTCTGAATTTAGGATGCCAACTCGTGGGAAGGCTTTCTTTCTCTCTGTCTGCTCTGGGGGAAGGTCCCTGCCTCTTAAACTTCTGCTTCCTGTTCTCTTGGAGCTCTCCTTGTGTCTTGATATCTATCTTGCTCCATCATTTTCTTGTTTAATCTTTTAATATCTCAAAAGAGATTGACTCAAGAAATACTCCACAGTAGCCATGCTTCATTAACATAACAAAGACAACCCATTCCCAAACAGGATTGTAGCCACAGGCATGGAGCTTAAGATTCATAACATATATTTTGGGGGTACATATTTCAATCAATAATGGAGGAATTACAGCTTCATCTTTGCTGGACCTGGGAAATTCAGATCAGGAAAAGGACTCAGTAGGTGTGCGAGGGTGGGGGTGGGGGTGCGGGGGCATGGAGGGCAGGGATGAGCTAATCTTCCAAAGCCTCACATGATGCTGATAGGAAGAGAGACACATTCAGACACCCATTGCAGAAAGGGAAATCAGAGGTTCTTGAATCAGAAAATGGAGTGTGAACAATTTCGAATCACTCAGTCCCACACAAGGCTGCTGTCTCACACTACAAAAGAAAAGAATCAACAGATTCAGGTTAGTGCCTTTAGGTGTTAACACTCTAAACACCAGCCTATAACAATCTTAAAATGGCCAAATCCAAAGAATCCCTATAAGGAAGTAATACTGCCTCTGTCCCAACCCTTCCCTAGGTCAGGTCCCCTGGTGTCTCACCTTTAGAAAGTGTAAGGGACAAATCAGAGCCCTGGGCTCTGTCACCATGACTGCCTGGAGAACAAAAACAGGATCTGGTCAGAGACCACAGGATATGAGTACAGGAAAATGGGAATTATGAAGTGAGGAGGATACCCCATGAGTCACCTTCTTCCATACTTACTTGAAGCTGGTGTGTAGCTTGCTTCCTTTCCACCTGTGAGAAAAATGCATGGTTTGAGGGAACAGGGAGGAAGAAAGACCATGAGGTCGAAGAAAAGTCAGCTAGATGAGAATCCCAGGGAAATTTCCAGACTGCCTGCAGACCCAGGGCAAGATAAAGAAATGCAAGAAAAGATGTGCAGGGACTGGACCAACCACCTTCCTGGAAGCCTGTCCTCAGCAGAAACCTTCCCCCATGACCTGAGTCAGGTCTCCATCACCAGAACCATTAAGATGGAAGATTTGTGTTTCATTTTCACATGTGTTTATAGAAGAGTAATGTTTACACACAGGTCCCCAAAGTGGGTTAGCATATGTGTGGATGGTGCCTCCCATAATGAAGTGGGTGACAACAAATCTCCCATACCTGGGACTGAAACCCCCAATGGGACAAAAAAGTCAGACTCCAACCCATCTCTACCTGAGCTCCTTTTCTTCCTCTTCATAGCTACAACAGTCACAGTTCCCAGAATCATAGCTCCAAGGAGAACCAGGCCAGCAATGAGTCCCTCATTAAGGATGGTAGGCTGGGAAGGCAGTTCTGGAAAGATAAGGGAGCTGAGGAACCTTGACTCCTTGGAAGCCTTCATCAGGGCTCCTGCATTCCCTAAAAAGAGGCTTCATCTTCGTCACCCTACTTACTCCATCTTTCAGTGAGGGGCTCAAGCAGGCCCTTGTGCTGCACATGGCATGTGTATCTCTGTTCCTCTCCTGAGGGAACCACCACGGATGCCCACTTCTGGAAGGTCCCATCTCCCGACGGCCTGGTCTCCACAAGCTTCATGTCCTGGGACTGGTCCTCTCCATCCAGCTGCCAGGTAAAGGTGATCGCAGCAGGGTAGAAGCCCAGGGCCCAACACTTCAGTGTGACCTCACGTTCAGAGATGGGGTGGTGAGTCACATGTGCCTTTGGAGGGTCTAAGAGAAGTAGTCAGAAAATTCAAGAACTTTCCTTTACTTCCCATGGGCCACTTGAGTAAGTCTTATATGATCATGTTGACAATAGACTGGGCTATTGGGATAGGGGAGGAGATACAAAACCCAGATACCAGCCTGGACCAGGGACCTGGATAATCTCCTATTCGTTGAAAAATTCTAGAATCAGGGAAAGGCAATCCAGAGCAGAAGGTTTCAGGTGTCTGAAAGGAGAACATGGATTTCTAGTTCTGACCTAGGTGAAGTCTTAGAAACTCAGAAACGCTAGAATCAGCTCCAAAACTCATTGAGTGTGGAACAGAGAACAAGGCTTGAGGAAGAAAGTCCCTGGTGGGTACCCAAGGCCAACTCCAGGATCAAAGAAAGATCAGGAATCATCATCTCTATCATCCTCAGTAGAGCCCTAGTGGCACAAGATTAAGGCACTTAGTGCTAAATAAATTTCAGCAATTTCAATCCCAGCTATTGTGGGGGAGAAAGATGTGGCAAACTACTTCCATAAAGATTGAAGGCCTTGGAAATCCTATGGAAAGAGTTCTTGCAAGATGGTGGTCTAGGCAGACGTGCTACCCAGATCCTCTACAGCAAAGTAAAAAACCAAGTGAAACAGCTACCGATGATAACGCTGCAAACCTGAGCTTTAGAAGAAAGCACAGAATTAGTGGACTGAATGCTGACTAGGAGAAGCTGAACAAAACAGAGACTGAGAAAACATACAGAAATGTGTGAACTGTCAGCTGGCCTGACATAGGATGGTCATTTTAAGTGTTGCAAACAGATTTCAATAGGAGCAGTAACCTGATAATCAGATTCTGGCACCCAGAGCCACCTATGTCCGCACACTGGGGACTGGTGAACAGATTAGTTCCTCTTTTTGCACCCCACACCTTGCAGATGACCAGAAGTATGGCCAGCTCTTGCCCTTATCCACCTGGAAGCTGGTGGCCATTTCCCCTCCAACCTCTGCTCTGCCTGAGGTCAGAGTCATGTCCTCGTGGATAAGGTGCAGGGCACACTCCACCCCCATGTCATAGGCACACATCCTCAGCCTCTTAGACCAGCAGGATATGCAGTGCTGATGGACACCTTGCCCTAACTCACTCCTGGGCGGTCAGGAACTTGTTCTGGGATCCGGTGCCCTGACCCAGCTACCCTCTGGGCCTGGAAGAGCTTCTTCTGGGATCAGGTGCCCTGACTCTAGACACCTTCTTTCTGGTCAGGAACTCCATCTAGGACAGGGCATCATGTACTCCCTGTGATCCCGCCATGGCTTCCTTAGCAGCAAAGGGGACCAGCCTATATTGGGTGCCCTGGCCCCTTCCTGCCTTCTGAACTTTCTCCTTTCTTTTTTTCCTTTTCTCTTTTTCTTCTTTCTTTACATTTCTTTTATCTCTCATTTTTTTTAGTTTCTCATTCTTTTTTCCTCTCTTTTTTTCTTTCCTGGTATTTTCTTGACTGTTATTGTTTTCTTGCATTTTCCCCCCTTGTTAGTATTTTTGGAGTTCTGGTGTAGCACATTATGATAAATTAGGCTGTGAACTGCAAGGTTGTCTGTTCATACCCACCAATTGCTCATCAGAAACCCTATACACAGTCGCTATGAGTTGGAATCCACTGGAAGGCACTTAACAACAAGTTTTGTTCAGAATCCAGATGTGGTGTTGTAGGATAAGCACTGGAATGCTAGCTGCAAGTTCAGAGGTTCAAGTGTACCAGCAGCTCATTGGAAGTCCTATTCAGGGTCGCTATGGTCAGAACCAACTAGATGACACTTAACAACACACAACAGCAGTTTTCTTTTCTTTCATTCTTTCTTATTTATCTTCCCTTTCTTTAGTTTTCCTTTTCTTTCTCTTTTCCTCCTTTTCAGTTTTCTTTTTAGTTGTTGTTTCTTGTTTTTTTTTTTTTTTTTCCTCCTATTTGCTTTATTGAAAAGTTCTTCTTTTCTTGTTGGTATTTTTTGTTCTTTTTAATCTGGTTGGTTTTAATCTGCTAAAGGAACAATCAGTAAAAATAACCTATAAAAATTTAAGAAAGCCAAAACATGTACAACTTTAAGAGTAATTAACTAATTGCTGCTATTGTTGTTAAGTGCCACTGAGTAGTTTCTGATTCATAGCGACATTGTTTAAGGTTCCCGAAGAGCATATGGTAAGCTTGCATTGTGGACCTTGTGGTTCAAACTGACTGTGCAACCCAGAGCACTAACCTGCAGTACCACACCAGTACTCCTAATTAAGTAATGGCTGACTTAATTAAAGAACTGGAAGAGAAAATACAAAACAAAACAAAAATAAACATAGAAAATTGTTAAAGGTTTGTTGGAAAACTTACTAATATCATGAAAGATGAAAAGGTTATGCATTCAAGGAATTCAATGAACCCCAGAGAAGATACCAAAGAAAATCACCAAGAAATATTATAATCTAACTTTCCAAACCAAAGACAAGGAAAGAATCCTGAAAATAGCTCATATAAAACAAAAAACTTATCCACAATGGATAATCAATAAAAGTAGGATCTCATATCTTGGCAGCAATAATGTAGGCAAAAAAGCTATATGATAACATATGGACACTCTGAAGAAAAATAGTGTCAATAAAAAATTATGTACTTGGCAAAACTGTACCTCCAATATGATGGTGAACTTAGGTCAATTCCAGATATACAGAAGCTTAAAGAATTTGTAAAAACCAGAGCAACCTAAAGGAGTTCTTCGAACAGAGAACCAACAAAATGAGACAACCTGACATTAACACACATGACAATGTCACCAGGAAACCAACACAGTTATAGAAATATCCAAATTATAATAAACCTACAAGATTAAGAGGGACCCAGAGACATGAATTTATAAACAAGGACAACTAGAAAACATAACGAGAAAATAAGTAGTGTGGTTACAGAACTTTCTAATGGAAAGAAAGATTTCAAGATAGAATGGACTGTTTAAAAGTTGGGGAAAAATGCAAATTACAACATAACCTCAAAAAAAGTTAATAAGCCTCCTTATGAAAATCATATAGCACAAACTCATGAAGATTTACTAAACACTAAAACTACAGCAACAAAGGAAATGACAAAAAAAAACCATTAAAATTAAATCAACACAGAAAATTATATGGAGCATATAAATCAGCACCACCACACACAAAATGTAACAACAACACTAAATAACAAAGCAAACTGACAGCAACATTCACACCTACAGCGAAATGAAAATTAATTATATACTGTAGTCATGAGACAGAGAGAAGCAGAATGAATAAGAAAACATGACCCATGAATATGCTACCTACAAGAGACACACCATAGACAACAAGACAAATAGAGACTAAAAATCAAAGGATGGGAGAAAAAAATATCAAGCAAATGGCAATCATAAAAGAGCAGGAGAGGCCATATTAATTTCTGATAAAATAGATTTAAGGCAAAACCAGCTTAAGAGAGAAGGATATTATGCAAGATTGAAGGGTCAATTAAAAAAGAAAACACAGACATAATAAATATCAATGTACCCATAAAAGAGCCCCAAAATACATAAATTACATTTTAACAGAATTGAAAAGACAGACAACTCCACAATAATAGCAAACTGTAACACACCACTTTGATAAAGGACAGACAACTCTAAAGAAATTCAAGAGACACAAAATAATTAAACACCACAATCAACCAACTTGACCTCATAGACATATATGGAATAGTCCATCCAAGAACACAATATACATTCTTTGCTGTCACACATGCAAATTGTTCAGAATAAAGAGGACCAAAGAAAAATCAATGCATTTGATTTATGGTGCTTGTAAATAATTAAATATATATGTATATATTTATAATAAGGAGCTCTGGTAGTATAGTGGTTACGAGTTGGGCTGCCAACCTCAAGGTTAGCAGTTTGAAACTACCAGCGGTTCTGCGGGAGAAAGATGAGGCATTTACTCCCATAAAGATTTACAGCCTCGGAAACCCTGTGCAGGGTCACTATGAGTCAGAACCGATTCCACGGTACTTAACCACCATATTTATAATGTAATTCTTCATTACAAATACGTTATTCAACAACATAAATGGTGATTAAACACATGGACTCTGGCCAGAGAAAACACACAGGAATTACATTGACTACATCTGTGGAAAGAGCTCATTGAACAACTTAATATAATCAGCCAAAACAAGGTCAGGGGTCGACTGTGGAACAGAGCAGATCATCAATTACTCATATGCAAGTTCAGGTTGAAGTTAAAGAGAAGTAAATCAAGCCCACAGAGACAAAATACCACCTTGGGTTTATCTCACCTGAATTTAAAGAGCATCTCAAGAATTGATTTGATGTACAGACACTAATGACTGAATACCAGAGGAGTTGCTGAATGACACCAAGAATATCATATGTGAAATACATAGTTAATATGGACAGACAACTTAGACATTGGCTACCTAAAATGAGGGAGCGATTAAGGCACAAAGAAACTAGCTTACAAGTTTTCAAGAGGGAGTTGAGTTTCAGAGTGTGGGGGGAAAGGTAGAGTCCCACTGAATAGTTTTCATCTTGTCTAGATGTGTCTGGTGAAAAGAGAAGGGGATCAGATTTTTATGATTCAGTAGTGAATAATTGTTACCATGATTAATTGCAAATGTCACAACTGTAAATGTATTCGTTTTGTAATAAAAAGTGTGGAGCAGTTAATATTTTTTTTTTCTTAATGTTTAATTGTGAATTATGAGATACTTTACATGGGAGAACATTTGTTTTACATTCATCCTATAGTATATCATTTCATTGTTATGGTTACAATCCCTTCCATGCATCATCAACCATCCAAAGGGTATACACTACAAGCATGCCCCCCTGTCATCAGCACAAAGCCCCTCTCCCTCACTGTGTCTAAAGTCCCCAATAGCTCCACGTCATCGTCTCTGCTTCCATCTCAGGCATCACTGCTTCTCTGGTTAGGGTCCTGCTCTCCGCTCTTCTC